AGGGGGCTGGACTCGATGATCTCCCGAGGTCCCTTCCAGCCCTAATGTCTGTGAAATCTATGAAATCATATAGGATCAGCTGGCACGTGTCAGGAAGAAAACCAGAAATGTTTATTCCCTTACATTTTTCTACACATGTATGTGCACACACATGCACACATGCATGCACATACACACACATGTCAAGATGCCCCATGTTTGTTGGGTCTACTCAGGTAATCTCTTGGGTGGAGCTGGAGCTTATCTGTAGCCACCTATGATGTGATGTGACTTCCTTGGTATCAACAGGTGGAACAGCGACACCTCCTGGTGTCCAAAACAGTGGATGAAGTGCAGATGATGATCCAGCAACTGACCACAGAAGTTAGCTGCAGGGACATACGATTCCAGCCCATCTCCAACTCTGGCATTCACAATGAGAATTTTAAGGTAAGGGTGAGAGGTGAGGTTCCACATTATTTGAGAAGATGCACACATCCATGCTGTCTATTAGTCCCTTAAGTACTCTGAGCTATGTTCTTTCAGAAACTGAGTTGGATAGGAAAAAAATGTTCCCATTTCCAGAAAATGTTTGAGTTTTTGAAAATCGTTCGCATCTTGCATTGGGACGGAACACTGACATACCCCAAGATTGTTGCAAAGCAATAATCCAGAATAAATTCAGCTATGTGAAACAAAATATTTCTTTTTTGATAATTTCCATATGTTTTGATATGATTTTGAATGTTTTAATTTTTTTAAATATTGTAAATTACCTTAAATTTCTAACAAAAACCCCTTTTGAACTGTAAAAAAGAAACCCTTTTATTTTGAAAATATCAAAATGTGACATTCTAGTAATTTTGCAAGTTTTCTCTAAAACTTTTTGGATACAGGAAATTATCAAAGCCAAACCTCTATAAAACTGGTTTTCACAAATGGGCAAATGGGAAAATATTTCATTGAAAAAAAATCCCTATCAGCTCCGTCCAGCAACTGTTCAGTTCAGTTTTTTAAAGGTTCTTACCAAATAAAATCTCATCTGCGTCTGGTGACCAGATGCTCCAGCCTGGCTAGGGTTTCTTGTTTATAAAATGGCCTTACTTTCATTCCCATGTCCAGTATTCATACTGTTTAAGTCATGTGACTGCCAGTGAGAGTTCTTCAAGGTTTCTTATATAGGTACACAAGTAAAGGTTATCTACATAAAAAACCAAAACAGAAAATGGAGGAGAGTAACTGCCTCTTACTGTGATCACAAGGAGACTTTCCACCCAAAATTATCATCAGAAAATAACAAGTCTAGTAGCTACATCTTTTATGTAAAAATCCCACCCACTTTTTCACAATGGCCAAACAAATAGCTTCTGCCCAGGTCGAGGCTGGTGTAGGGTGAGATTTAAGTAGGTCTAAAACCTTTTACTTTATACATCACTGGTTCAGACACAGCTGAACGAAGTCACTCGCCTCTAACAGCTGTTTGATGGGTCCTAGAAAACAGGTCAGTTTCCAGATAAAAGATTAAAAAATGATAGAAGACAAAAACCATCCACCCAGTTGTCAGCATGTGGGCAGCCAAGGTCCAACCAGCTGTAGAGATGGGTCTCTTTGTAGGGCTGAGGTGGCTAGTCCTGGGTAAGGTGGGGTGTATAAGATGTATTGGGAAAGCTGAGTTTGTCTCTCCAGGATCACCAACATGGACCCTCTCAGCACCACCTATGAGCATTAGACTTAGAGTCACTGGGGATGACAGCTGTGTAATTTATTCTTCACCATTAGGTTCAGAGGAAACTCCTAAATGCTTTCTGAACTACCTGTCTGACACATGCTTTCTCTCTGTTCTCTGCACTTCTTATCTTCCTCTTTGCTTCTCTCAGGATCAGCCCGCTTTAATGGCCAAATGGTCAACACTGCTTCGGGGAAAACGCTTACTCCACCCATCCATTCAGGTACAAAAGCCTACCATAGCCTCCTCCGAATACTGCCATGCCTGCTTTGGCCTTTCCCACCCCTTCCCTCCATACCCCACATCCCTCACCCTCTGTGCCAGTCTCGCTGCGACTATTCTATCCTCCCTGCAAGGTGTTTCTGTACATGTTCAGGGCACAAGACCCTCCTTTCTAACCTATAACTTCTTCTTGCTAGACTGAGGTGCCCAACTAAGAGATGCTTTGTATTTTGGCAGGAACCCAAGGACTGGGCTGCATCTAATTTACATAACCTGGTATGGACTGTTCTTAATAGAGGGGTCACAGACCACAGGTCCCAGCATCCAATGCTCTTTTTTGGCTCCAAGGATTCAGACAAATTAGCACGTGACATACTAGTGCTTGTCGTCTCTCCACATTAAAGACAAAGGTCCATAGGGACCCTGTTTAGCCTGCAGGCTGCTATGTGAATGCACCTGTTTCACTGTTGCCAGCTCTCACAATGTTATTATAAACCTTATAATCTCTGGCAGTTTCTGCTAAAGTCCCAGCTGCAGGAATCTGGTGATTACAGGAATGGCTCAGCTCTCATTTGGAAACATGTAAAGTTGCTATTGTATTCCTGGTTGCAGAGAAAAGTTTAAAGGCATGACCTGAATACACCCCCAGGGCTTACAGTCTTGAAGGCAAATACAAAGAACCCTCATCTTATTTATTTTTTTAAAATGCCATTCTTTTTGGAGCCTAGCATGATATCTGTAAGTTTGGGCAAGGGAAGTGAGGAGGGCAATGTTGTTGTTCAGTACAAAGTGTATGCTCTGAGGAGTGAGATTAATATCTTACTCTGGTCAGCACAGATTCATTAGGATTGAGTTACACTGGTATGTAATTCAGTGAGGTCCTGCTGGTATCTGAAGCCCAGTTTTCAAGGCAGGAGTGGCCATGTGGCCTAAAAGGAGTCTTTCTGGGAAGCCATGAACCCATGGCCAGGAGAGCTGGAAAAAGTAAGAATTTTAATGTCTTATTGAAACACATCATGGCAAACACTTCAGTCCAAAGTTTCTTAGCCTAAGGATCACCAGCAGTTCTTTGGGGCAGGGGCAATTGTATCTGCCAGCTCTCTCTGAAAAGGATCTTTACAGCCAGAAAAGAATGGAGAACATCAAAAATTATGGAATGGACCAAGGCCGAGAAAGAACTGTAGTTCTTTCTTTGTGCTTAAGAAAAAACCGCCCTGTAGCTTTTACTTCATGGTTAAGATTGAGGAGATTTGCTCTGAGATGGTGTTTCTCAGATGGGTGTTGGTGGCAGACTTCTAGAAGGTACCTGAGAGGAAGGAACAGGAAAGCAGAAGATGGGAAGGAGGAAATATAGATGGAGGAAAGGAGGAAGGAAATGAAGAACAACTTTACAATTCCTCTTAGGTTAATGCAGAGGTTACAGTATGGTTGTTGTGACAAACAGGCTTTTTATTATACATAATTAGGGACCTACTTAAATCATGGTTTCACAGTTTTAATGGAAACCATGAACAATGGTCATTGCCACGGATGTCGCAAAAAATGGCATTGGCTGTCACTTCCCAGGAAATCAACCAAAAAAACCCAAACCAAAATAAAAATAAAATGCTGGCTCTCAGTCTTCACTAACGCTGCAGCCCAGCCTTGCAGGCTGCCCAGGAAAGAAAGGCACTGGTTGTGGGGGGCAGCACAAAGGGCAACAGCCAAGATGGAGGTTGCCCCATCGTGCCTCTCAGCCAATCAGCACTGAGGAGCAGGGCCACATGAAGGGCAGCCGGAAGTCAAGATGGTGGTCATCCCTTCATCCTGCATCCCCCTGGAGCCTCTGCCAATCAGAGCTGATGGGCAGGGCCTCTTCGCCAATCAATGCCAAGAGACAGGACCACTGCAAAATGACCAGGAAATCAATTCTTTGGGCTGCAACCAAGCTACAAAAATTGCTTTCTCTTGCTGCAAGTTAGGTTACTGGTACCTATCCATAACACAATGATAGGAGCACATAGAAGCATTACAAACTTACGCGGGGGTACGTAACACAAAACCATTTGAGAACCACTGGTACTCCCATGAGGGCTGCAATATTCACTTCTTCTTGACTATTGCATGTATTAATACGTGCTCATTGCATTAGGACGTGCTCATTTCTCAACACCAATAAGAAAAATGCATTCATCATGAGGCCAGTTTGTTTGGACATTCCTAAAATGCTTCCTTCCCAGCCTCCTCTTGTAAAAACTGTGAACTGGATTTCACTGAACAAAGGGTTTTTGGAATTGTATTTGCCATTTCTCTGCTTCCTGCTGGTAATCTCATACAAAAAATTCCTATAGCATTCAACAGCAACATGCTGAATTGCTAGACCACTACCAGTAGTGCTACTGCAATGTTCTGGAGCATTGCTGGAGAACGGTACGGTGTCCAAGTTATTTAATAGCAACTGCTGTTTGCTTAGATTCAGTTTATGTAGTAAGTTGTCCCTGAGTTATGCCAAAGCGAATTCTGACAGATGATGAAGTAGTAAAAAAGCTGCAGAATTCAGACTGTTAAGAATTCAGATGGTTTAGTTATACTGTTTGAACCCATAGCGTAGAGATGACCGAACGTTTTGAAACCAAGGTTGAATAGCTATGTGGTCTGCTTATGTTTAAACCCCTTTTCATTTGCTTTTCAGTGGGAACATCTACACATGCATTAAGATGCTTTTTCTAATGCACATTAATTTTAGTACCTCTGGTTGTCAGTACACAAGTGTGAAGGTGGCTGCAACACACTGTAATTACAGTGTGCTGGAGCAAACTTGATTAATTAAGCCTGCTAGACCATGGCAATTATTATGCTCCAGCAGCCTTCTGCATCACATGTATCAGCATCCCCATGGTTAATAATGGTGGTGTGGGTGCTTGAACTAATGTTCATCAAATGAGCTTTAGTACAAGCACCCCTACTGCCGTTTTTAAGCACAGGGACACTGATACATGAGATCCAGTGGCACTTTAATTAGAGTGGCTCTTGGAACCACTTTAATTAAAGCGCCACCCTCCTCCCCTGGAGCACATGTAAAAGTGCCCTGCAATGTGAGGTACTAAAGAAATGGTTGTTAGGCTGCCTTAATGCACAGTAATGAATGTACATGCTTTTTAAGTGATGCTTAATGCACAGTAGTCTATTTTACTGCATATTAGTGTAATTGCACAGTTTTTTATGTGATGTTTTAATGCACAGTAAAATAGGCTACTGTGCATTAAAGTGCATGTGTAGACATGCCCAGTAGGATTTTAATTGCAATATGGCTTTTCTTTATATGAAGACCCAACTAAAATGCAAATAAAGCTAGCCATTGTTTGTGTCCCACAGGGGAGATGACAAGGAGGTCTTAAATTGCAGCAAGGGAAATTAGATTGTATGTTAGGAAAAACTTCCTCACTATGAGGGTGGTTAAGCACTGGAACTGGCTGCTCAGAGAGTCTGTGGATTCTCCATTCTCAGAAGTTTTTAAGAGCAGGTTAAGCAGATACTTGGCTGGGGTGGTTTAGACAGGGATGATCCTGCTTTGAGCATGGGCCTGGATTAGATGTGACCACTTGAGGTCCCTTTCAGCCCTCCTTTCCTATGAGTCTAACTTGTTTGTTATTCTTATGTTTAAAAAAAGATTTTCATCCAGTCAAAAAGCAGAATCAACTCCAATGACATAGGTGACAAAGCTCCTGGATTCTATTCCTGGCTCTGTGAGTGGTTCACTGTGGATGCACCTACATGAAACAATGTGCAGAAGGGCAGCAGCCAAAAACCTGTGCTAATGTACAAAGCAAAACACATGCTAATGTGCAGGGCAAAACCCATGTTCATTATAGGTACTGAACTTAATATACCATAATTACAGTGCATTAATGAATGTATAGATGCACTCTGTATAGCCTTGCGCCCCGCTGCTGCCCTCCCCTCCCCCAAGTAGTGCTGCTGGCACTTCCAGGTTCAGCATCCGGCTGCGGGCCCCACCCCCTCCCAGTCGGTGACTGACTGAAGGGGGACTGCCCCCCCGCCCCCCCCCAACTGCCACGGCCGCCCATGGACAGTCCCTGCTCAGCCCGCCCTTGCTGCTGATGGCTGCATCACCACCTGCGAGTGGTTGCCATGCCCCCCCAGCCTTAGGAGGCACACCTCACCTATGGTCCTCCTGGTCCCTCTCCTGCTCATGCACAATGACCTGTAGGACTGCTAGAGCCAGCAAGTGCCACTGTGCAGGGACATGGTGCCCAGGGGCCAGGGAGCAGCTGGCAGAGGTCTGGGGGAGTCAGGCTGGGGTTCTGCAGTGCTGCTACAATCAGCATGTGCCCACCACACCTAGCACCCAGTGGCCAGGGGCAGGCATCAGCTGGCTCAGGCCCCAGGGTCAAGCCTGGGGTCTAAAGGTCAGCCAGGGATGGCTAAAGAGCTGTCCCTGTCCCATGGCTGGAGGGACTCCTAGCCATGTTGGTCTGGCCCCTGGCAAAAGGCTGGCCCTGTGCTGGTCTGGCTGACTAGGAGCAAATTTGCTCCTGATCAGCATCTACTAGTGCATCTAGTGCAGTAAATCTACTGTCTGTAAATACAAATAGTAGATTTACTGCACATTTGCCTATTTTACTATAGTATTTTACTAGTACATAGTGATGCTTCACTGCATAGTAGATGAATTTACTGTGCAGTAAAGCATCTCGCATAGAAGTGCCCCCTGTTTTTGTTTCCCCATCTGTAAAGAACAGCCAGCATTCCCCCAACCACACAAAGAGGGATGTAAAGTTTCTTTTACTAAAAGAAAAACTTTTTCTTTTAAATCTTTAAAGAACATAGAGCTCCTAGGATGAAAGAGACTAGAGAATGTACATCAATATCAATTGGCTATTACGTCTAATAATCTCAAGGTATATCCCTATTCATTATACTAAGGTATTAATTTGCATTGATTTTGCCTTCCATTGCTGGATTTCAAAATCTGGTCTCTCTCTCTGTCTGCTGAGCTAGTTATCCCATCTTGTGCAATTACCCGTCAAGTCTAGGAAACCACGAAGTGTGAGGTGGGAAGGATGGAGATTGCAGTAATAGACCAGCCAGTGTATGTTCAGATTCCATTCTGGTAGCATTGCCCATGACCCTCACCTTGACTTGCTTCTAATGACAACTCTCTCTTTCTAGAAGTAGTCTCACAAGCTGCTCCAGGGAACCATGACATAGACTCCCATACAAACCAGCCTGCGGTGGGACCTGCCTGTTCTGAGCTGCTTCCATTGCACTTCGGCTTTTCCCCTCCATGTCAGCATGTTTCTCTTTTCAGGGTGGTTAATCTGCCCTCACTTCCTCTATCAATCTCTCTGAACTCTTCCAGGTCTTAACACCTAGCCAGTTCCTCATGACTGTCCCACTGCGTGGCCTGACTGGGTACAAGGAGCACCAGGTGCGGCGCTGGCGGTATTACACTGTGCAAGGGGAAAAGCTCCTCTCCTCGGTGCGGAACCCAGAGGAGCTGCACCAGTGGCTGGAGGTGGAGCAGTTTTCAAAGAGCCTCCAGCAGTGGCATGACACGGATATGAACTTCGAAGGTGATCTTGTTCCAGCCAAAGTCCTTGCTGTCTTCCGGGACCTGGTGGAGAAGTCGATTATAACCTGTGATCTCTCCAGTGAGTGTAGTGAGACATGAAGGGAATCGAACTATTAGCACTAATGCAGAAGATTGCTGCTGCCGCTGGCCCTAGGCAGCAGTGGCAGCCTCCTGTCATCCAGCACACAGATCCGGGGGCCCACACTGCTGGGAGGAGTCCGGCAATGCTGGGAGGGCAGGTTGAGCAATATGGGGCTGGCGGAGCCAGTCGGAGCGCAGCCCTGGCTCTCCGTGCCTCCTGCCGCCGGGCTGCGCTCCGACCGGCTCCGCAGCCCCATGGAGCTCAGTCAGGTGGCAGGAGGTGGAGTGCAGCCCTGGGTCTCCCCGCCTCCTACCACCAAGCTGCTTCAAAACTCAAAACGTTTCAAAATTTTCGAAAAGTTTTGAGTGCCCTCGTTTTGTTTTGAAGCTGTTTCAAAGCTTTTTGTTTCTCTTCGATTTTGCTGTTTCGAGCTTGAAATGTGTCAAAACAGCTTTAAAACGAAACACGCAGCAAAATTTCGCACAGCCCTAGCAACAGAGCAATTCCGTTGCAAAGAACTCAGACCACAACACGGTAGTTTTGGCCACTGTGGATTCCTATTTGAAATCTCTGGGTTTAACTTGTGAATCATGTGTAGATGTTTGCATACCTAACAGTGCTAATATTGTGCAACACCCCAAAGTACCTTGTGGAATTACTGCCATAAGAATTCAGCCACCTTTTTTTTGCTGTGAATTTACAAGAAGTAAGTTGTCTTTCTGCTAGCCCAGGAGGGATATACCTGGACTAGCCAGAAGGATTTTGTGAAAGGGATGGAGCATTGGATCCAAACTTAGAAGAGACTATCCCTAGAGAAGTCTGAGCTGTCCATAGTCTTCCAGGTGGCAACACTCCTTTTGGGCAAATTCCTGTTCTTTATTTTTGTTATTTACTTTAATTCTTTAGACAAATAGAATCATGGAACTAGAAAGAACCTCGAGAGTTATCTAGTGATGTACAGGATTCCATGGTCCTAACACATCCCAGAAAGATGCTGATCCAACCTTTTTTCAGAAACCTCCAAGGAAGAAAATTCCACACCTTTCCTGGCAGCTTGTTTCACTGTCTTGCTGATTCTACAGTTAGAAAGTTTTTTCTAGGATTTAATTCAAATATTGGCTTCTCCCCTGTACCCAGGATGCTCTCAACCTAATTCTAGGTAATGTCATATGGTGTCACTCCCACCCACAATGCTACAAGCACCTTCAAAGCCGCTGTTGATATCCCAACCTTCCCTGCAAAATGAATGGAGGAGGTGATCATTGATAGGATGTAGTTTGTGTGTTAAACCCTCCTTTAGAGCTAAGGATGCTACCTTATTAATAGTCAACATGCTTAGTTTTTAGAATCCTGAAAACATTTTATAGACATCAGTTAGTTAATGCACAACATAACTTGAGGTGGGCAAATATTTCCTTTTTCTCATCTGGGTTAACTGAAGCACAGAGCTTGTGCCTTTTCCTAGACCAGAGGTGGGCTGGATTCAGTCCACCAGCTGGTGGTATCCAACTTATGGGTGGGTGGCTGCAAACCCATGAGATTTGGCCTGTGGGCAGCCGGTGGGTCCGGCTGCTGCATGGTGCTGGACAGGCAGGGCTGTTTCCATCGTGCTGGGCAGGTGGGCAGGACTGCTTCCACCCACTGCTGATGTGGTGGCGTCAGCTGTGGACCTTGGCGAATGCCCTGATCTCCAACTGGAACCTGCTGGCTGTGTCCACAGCTGATGCTGAAACCCAGCCAGGGCTGCTTCTGCCATGCCAGGGGGTGCTGGTGTATGCTGAGGACACAGCCAGCATTTTTTGGGGTTGGGCAGGGCTTGCAGCATGCTGCAGCTGCAGGAGTCATGGGGGTGGGGAGGGGAGAGAGAAGTGTGGCTACTGAGAGAACATAAAAAATCATTAAGTGGCCCTCCAGCCAAAATACCCACCCCTGTCCTAAACCAAAGCCAGACCAGGCTGCCTCTCTTCAAAGGATTTTGTCCAGAATGACATTCCATCATAGGACTGCAAATGCAGAAAGGCCATTTTCCCTTCCCAACTTAAACTCTAGATTTTGATCTTTGCAACGTAGTGGAAAGACTTGTTAAAATCTAGCTTATTTAGCAACTTGTTTTTCTAGAAAATTGTGATTACTATTGAGGAGAGTGATGAGATGCAAATTCAGCACCACCAAACAGATGCTGTGACTTGGCAGAAAAATCAAATGTACTGACCTCTTTTTGCCTCACCTGTTTTGGTCACATGGAAGGCATCATGTCAAGGACAAAGTCTGATATTCTTTAAAGCAGATCTCCCAAGCTGCTGGTCCATGGACCACTGGCTTATGGTCCATGCTTATGCTTATGGAAGAAATGTTTGGGCATAGGGTGCTGACCTGTCCTTCTTGCAGCCTGCTATGGGGAGATCAGCATATGGTAGAAGAGAAGAAATAAAATTAAACAGTGAGATTATCTTGCTTCAAACAGGACAAACTCCTCTCCTACCAAAGACAGTTAATGTTGCTGACACACTTCCCTGATATCACTGTAGCCTCTTTGCTGGCATGGTAGTAAATTTAGGGCAGTGTCTCATTTGATTGCAAATTTGGTGTCATGACCTTGCTGTATTTCCGTGCATGCTTTATTTATTTACTTGTGGTGCACCAGTCTCATATCTTTCGCAGGGTGGCAAAAATAACAGCAGAGCTGCACTTGAGCTATTCCACTGGCAGCACCCCCATCTGAAATGCCACCGTTGATCCCTGTAGATGCAGTGTCCCTTCCTTTCTTCCCTTTGCCTCTCACCCCACTGGTTCTGGGACCAAGCCCCCATCCTCTTGTCCCCAAATCACCAACCCTTGGCCATGTGGAGCTCCTTCTTTCTGATACCTAGCAGTGGCTGGTTCAAACAGACTTGAGGATCAGCCCTTTTTGGAGGGGCTGTTTTGCAACACCAAGACACCTCAGACTGCTGGGGATGACTTGTATGCAAGTTCCCATCCAGACATATGAATGCACCTAACTTGTGAGCTACTCATTAGGGTATGTCTACAGCATAGCAGCAAGGAGCTTAGTCACACCTCTGAGAAAATAAGCCCTGTCCACCCAGTCCATCTCTAGACCATCAAGCCCAAAAATGAGGCAGTAAGGATGGGTGTGTGTGTGTGTGAGGGAAGGGGGGGGGGGTCCCCAACCCACTACTCTTGAAGCAGTTGGAAACCCAGGTCTTAAACACAGTGCCAAGGATGCTCTTCAGGCTTGTTTCACCACCCTGTTTTTTGTCATGGTGTATGTGGAGCAGGAGGGCATGGACAGGGCTTATTTCCTCAGCGGTGTGACTGACACCCTGCCCCTGTGGCACTGACATGGCCACAAGGCTCAGTGTGACTGAGCACCAAGGGCAATGATAGGTCCCACAAGAAATTTCATGTATGGATCTAGACCAGTAGTTCTCTATGTCTATAGACTCAAGCCACTCCTTTTTAGGCTCAAGGCACCCTCCATAATTTTGGTGAATTGAGCAACACCCCATTTCAAAAACTGATTTATATATTACAGTGTTACTTCCTTGCAGAAGGACCTGTGGGGGTGGGGGAGCAGCCAGTCAGGGAGAAACCTGAGCTTGCTCTTGTCTGCTTATTTCCTCATACCTGGAGCCTTATTTCCTCACACTTTCTGCAACTCACTTCTAAGGATCTCAAGGCACCCTGGTTGAGAATCACTGATCTAGACAGTCCATAAGGAACTGGAGGTTTCTGGATGCAAGGCTTCTCTCTGGATTGTTTTGAAATTAGGGAGGCTTAGTCATCTCCTTTGCTGTCTCTTGGGATTCAATGCTATGGGAGAAGTTTAAGCCACAGCAGTTCTGCTTACCTTTGTTTGCGGCTGGTCTTGTGATTTTCTGGATCCCACACAGCCAAAGAGTAGATGTTGAGGGGCACAGTTGGTGTTGCGCTCTTCCTCTTCTTGCTCTTTGGTCCCACAGTTGGAAAGTAAGAACTAAGGTGGGTCCACAACTTACAGAGCACATACTAGATGAAGAGCACCAAACCACTTCTGGGGTGGCTTATGCAGAACACCAGCCCTCTCTTTATTGTTTCTTTTTGTTGTTCCTTCCCAGGGAAAATCAGCCTTCTGGAGAGCTTCAGCTCAGTGGTGCGAGTTGCTGTGGAAACGTCAAACCTTCAAGTAGAGGTGGAGCTGGTGCCTACTGTGGAGATCTTAACCTGCTGGCCAGAGAAGGCCCGGTGGCCTCGCTGCCTCAGGCGCTGGCCTTCCCAGGAGAAAGTGCAATGTGTGAAGGTACCATGTGTTAGGGGAATGGGAGGCCTGGTGGCACAGTGGAGGGTGTTGCCTTCTTGTCTAAAACAGTGGTTTTCAACTTGTGGTCTGTGGAGCCCTGGGTGTCCTCAAACTATGTCTAAGGGGTCTGCAAAATATGACTGAGCAATCAAAAGTATGTGAATACCCACACTTACAATTTAAAGGGGCCCGCACCATCATTTAGAATTCCCAAAGGGGTTTGCACCACCATTCAACATTTTTTAGGGGCCCACAAATGAAAGTCCCACAGCCTGGGCCCCAGACTGACTGGAGCAGGGGATGATAATTACTTTGCGTGTGTGGCTGGTCTAAATGTATTGCATGATTAACCAGTTAATCAAGAAATATATGCAGTGTGTGGCAGGGGCCTAGTTTTTGCAAAGTGTTCTTGCAGGAAGGCCAGTGTTTGCTGAGCAGGGATGAGTAGGAAGAGGTGGAGGCAGTGCACTCAGCTCCACCAAAGCCTGATATCCACCATCCCTTGCTGCTTTAGTCTCCTCTCTCTTCCTCTCACATTTCTTCTCTGCAAAGCATCTTGTCGTACTATCCCACTTCTATTGGTCTTGTCCTGTTATTGACCAAGGTCTGCCAGGGCTGAGCTTGGACAGGTCAGCACTGACCTGTTGTCTATCCTGCAGCTCAAGTACAGGAAACTGTTGTGTAATTCTGTTTAAACAGCCAAGGTGGGGATACACTTGCTAGGAATCAGGGTGTCTGTTGTGTCTGTCTCTTGTGCCTTGGTTCAGGGTGCCATGCCAGGCACCTCAAGAGGTGGCAGACAGGAGCTATGGGGGCTCCCTTTACCCTGTTCTGTGCTGCTCTAGGGACAAGTTTGCATCTCATCCTGTCTCCCTCCCCTCTCCTCTGCAGTCATTTGGCTTTAACCTCTTGGCCCGCTCCAATTACCACTGGCAGCTGGGCTTCTCTCGAGCTGAGCGCCTATTGATGGAGGGCATTGATGAGGATGGAGGGTGCCGCATGAAGTGCTTCCGGGTCATGAGGCAGATGAAGGAAGACATCTGGTGCAAAGGAAACAAGCCTGTTCTCACTTCCTACCACCTCCAAGTAGGTACAGCAATCACAGTGATGGGGGAGGCAAGGGCGGAGCGCCTTCCATCCTGCCAGCAGCAGGTGAACAGTGTCCTCATTGCAGGAACCTCTTCCCAACTGGAAACATATAGCAGAACCTGAGGCTGTTGATTGTAGCCACATTGGTCTAAGGACATATGCAAGCAAGGTTCTTTGGGTAGATATGATATCTTTTATTTGACCAACTAAATAGTTGGGGAAAAGTTCTTTGCAAGCTTTTGGGCACAAACACCCTTCTTCAGGCATAGGGAGACTCTGCTGCTCTTATGAATTCTCCAGGGTAGAAAAGAAGCTAAAATAAACAAGAAGTCTGTTTACTTTAGCTTCTCTTCTACCTTGGAGAACTCATAACAGCAGCAGAGTCTCCCAATGGCTGAAGAAAGGTGATTGTGCCTGAAAGCTTGCAAATAACATTTTTCCAACTACTAGTTGGTCTAATAAAAGATAGCAGAACCCAGATACTTGGCAAGATTAGGTTCCTTACTGCCTTATAAAGAGGGAGGTTTGCAAAGCCTCTGGGCTGGGGGGTATATCTAGCCACAGCAAACAGCTGTGTGGGACTCCTGAAGGGACTCCAGCTGTTTGCTGAAGGTTTTATTTCCAAGGGTGCCACTTCCCTAATGAGCTGTGCAGGACCCTCAGCTGAGGGGCTCCAGCTGAGAGGAGAAGCAGCGTCCTTTGATGTTAAAGCCACAGTGAACAGGTGAGCAGCTCATCCTTCATCCAGCCATCTGCCTTGAATGAAGGGGGCTAGGAACCACCTGGTTATGAATGACCTGGGTTCTGCTATAGGCCAAATAAGCAGGGCTGAAATGGCTACTGTGCTTCCTCATTGCCTTCCCAGGAGCTCCCCTCACTGTGCTACCCTCCATTTCCCTTACCCAGATGCCATCTGTCTACATCCCATAGGCACAACTACAAGCATTAGCAGTTGCACAGTTATAAGGCAGCATCCAGAATCCAGGCAGCACCAGAAAGAGGGTTGCTTGTGCCTTACACTGCCGCATGTAATTGCCTGATCAGCTGCTAGTTCTTGACTAACATTGTACATAACACAAACGCACTTGGAGTTTCTACAGATGCCACCACCTGAGGATCACAGAGGCTAGGTCCCCATGGCCAAACCCTGGGCTATCATCAAGGAAAAAGCCCTTCCCACTTACACCTGCTCCACACACACCAGGGTCCAGCCATTCAGCAAAGTAGACAACCTAGAGGGATCTTCAGTGCACACCAGAGTGCTGCTCTGCGACCTTCTGTGTCTCAGGAGGGCCCAAGAGTGGCTCTGGGCACATGCTGAGGACTGCTTCATGTTGTATGTGCTGCTCACTTACCAGGCTCAGGAGAGAGCAGGGAAGAAGTGAGAGGGCAGAGGTGTTTCTTGGTGGTTCTCCAGGGCTTGGCAGGAAAATGTCTGTATGGCCAAAGCCTTTTACCACCATGAGCCCCCAAATCCTCCCAATACCTACTGTGGCGCAGAGAGGCCAGCAGAAGAAGGGAACAGCCTTTGAAAGGCAATGAGACACATTTGGAGTCACTCAGGGAACTGCTGGTTGTCCCTGGCTCCATGCTAGCCAGTGCCAGTAGTGACTGTTTTCCTCTCATGACTGTCTGGGGCCACGGTATGAAAAGGACTCATTGGATTTCATTCACCAATGTCCACATTGCAGCACTCATTACAGCACCCGGATGGGCCTGCTCAGCAGTGGGAAGGGTAAAGGCTGGCTGCCTAATGGAGCTAATTTCCTTGCTTTCGTGAGCTAATTCCCTTGTCTTCGTGAGCTGTCCATGCCAGGAGCCAGGCTTATCCACAGGGAAGCACACCCTGCCACAGCTTCCAGTCCCCAGGGCTGCAAGCCCAGCTCCTTTCCCCAGGTGAGCGGGCCCTTGGCAACAGCCCTGTAATGTTCCCTTCTACCCACACAGATGGTGCTGCTCTGGACCTGTGAGAAGTACCCGCGTGCCAAGGACTGGCGCTATTTCCGGGAGGGCTTCCTGCGCTTGGTGCGGAAGCTGCACAAGTGTGTGAGCCAGCACTTCCTGAAGCACTACTTCCTCAGGGATGCAAACCTGTTCCAGTATGCCAACACCAGTGACCTGGACCTGGTGGCAGGCAAGCTGATCGTATTCCTGGAGAACCCTGTGATCTGCCTGGACTGAACTACCAGTGCCTCCCCATCCAGTCCCGTCCATACCCCAAGCTCCTTTTGTAGCTTGTGGTTGCTCTTCCTGCCCTTCCACAGACACTGTGATCAAGTGCATCATGAAACAGAAGAGTCCAACTGGGTATGGGTAGAGACCAAGACCACATGCCAAGACAGTGCCATGTGCCATCTGTAGTTTAAGTCACTGCCATCCAACCCCCTAAGCCACCAGGCAGAGCAGCACAGCCCCCCGTAGTGGTCAGTCCTGTAATGTCTAAACCAAAGGCAGCATGAGCTAGTGGCAAGAGCAAGGAGCTGCCACCCACTCTGTAACCATGTGCATGTCACTTCACCTCTCTGTGTCTCCCCACACTGATGTTTTAAACTGGGTTAATCTCTACTTTCCTCAGCAGCTTGTTGAAAGGATAGAGGACTGAGCACATCTAGGGAATGCAGAGGTGTTTGGATGGAAGTTTCTGCTGGAGCACCATGTATTGTTATTGCCAGTGCCCCATCTGCAGCTCCACAGAACTTCCACTCTCTGTAAAGACAATTTAATAGATCATTGCATTGAATAGTCCAATTGCTTGTTTTTGTCTTCTCCTCTGCTGTCTTCCCTGTTGATTTTTGTCCCTAGATTTTTCCTTGGGAGGGCAGGAGGGGGAGAGGAGCTCTCTACCTTTGCCTTTCCCACCCTTCCCAGTGCCACACAGCACATGCAGTGAAGATGTTTGCCATGAGGGGCATCTTGCTCCTCTGGCTCTGCCCAGCTGGCCAAGGGATAAACAGATTTCTTGGCTTTTGGTCCCTTTGTCATTCCAGGTGGTAAAAGACAGCAGAAGAATTTTCTACGAGGTCCAGCACTTATATTTTTTTTCAAAGCAATATGTTCAATATTACAATACCCAACACTATTTTCAAAGCAAAGTCCCAGTGTTTCAAGGAAACAAGTTTTGAGGTAACCGTTTGTTTTGGTGTCATGCTGCTCATGTTATTTATTGGCTCAGAGTACAATAAAATGGGCTTTTTCTTGCCTCCTGCATGGATCACAGCTTGCTGAAGTACTCAGAATGAGAAACCTCCTCTCAGCTCTCCTGGCAGGGACACAATCTCCTGGCAGTGCCCATCACACAGCCTGATCTCCATTCTAGGCCCATACACCCTTTCATTTACTTGTACACTTTTGCGGGGCATGGAGCTCTTGCTGTTACTGGGGTGAAGAGTGGCTAGCCCAAAGATCACTGAGGTGGGTGTGTGGCTATCACTGCAATAGAGAGGGCTCAGGTGGCCAGTGGCCAGCCCAGAGTTCCTTGAGATGGACATGTGGCCATCACTGTGATAGAAAACCACTGTTATCTCTTTTCCCTCACTTTTCCAAGCTCCTTCCACTTTTCCTCCTGCCAGTCACTCCTTGAAAGACCCAATTTCTCTCTCTCATAAGCCAGTTTCCTCTGTACTCAGGCCCAGACCTCTTGAGCTTTCTCCCCTAAAGCTCTCCCTTCTGTTCTCTCTTCTTGACCCACCAAGCATAGAAATATCCCTCAGCTTAACAGCCTGAGTTTCCACAGCAAAGAGAAGGTGCCAGTGGCAGCAGGTTATCAATGCTTCCTGCCTTCCAGATCCCTCCCCCTGCCTCTCACCTCCAGACCCTCTTCCCTTCCTCAGAGCTCCCTCAGACAGGGTCACATCAGTCCCCCTACAGAGCCCATCTCTTCCTTCATGGTTCTCACCCTGTGAAGAAAACATAAGGTGCACTGTATACATCAGGTCCCCAGTACCGGCTCCATCCGATACGCCCACAGAGTATCTGGATGGCCTCACTCCATCAAAGTTGTCAGGGAATACTTGCGTCTGTAGCTACAACCAGTTGCTTTATGAGGGACTTCTCACACCTTGCCCACATGCATCGCTCAGCAGGTGTCAAGCACCCATCGCTTGGGCAGACAAAGCTCCTTTGTGCACAGTGGCAGCAGCAGCTGCTGCCCAGTCAGCCTCTCTCTTTTGAACTCTGCCTCCCCTTATCAATCCTTCAGTGAAGCTCAGCAAGAGGATGCATTAGTAAAAAACACCCCATTTGCAGATGCCAAGAAGGAAGGAGACAGGAAGTGCTTCACGCTTTGGTTTCTTCCTTCCCTGCAGCCACCTCTGCAGTTAAGAGGATGGCAAAGCTGGAGAAACCTTGAGAAATGGTGGAAGGGGCTAGAAAGCATTAAGTAACCCATGAATACTGGGAAACTGGCATGACAGCACCCCCTCGTGTCAAATTCCAGAATACCCCCTACTCAGTTGGTCTAATAAAAGATATATATATCCCCCGTGTTCCCATATATATATCTTTTATTAGACCAACTGAGTAGCTGGAAAAAAATTCTTAGCAAGCTTTTGGGTGCAATCACCCTTCTTCAGTCATAGGGAGTCTGCATACACACACATATACATATATACATAAATACGTATTATTGTACATTAAGGTTTCTCCATTTCTCCATCCTGGTTTAGTAAGGGAAAAGCAATTCTTGTCAGAGTTAGCTCTGCTCTCATTACCCAGTGCATAGTGGCAGAAATCAGAGATTTTTTAGATCCAATTCTCTGACTTCTGGTGTCTGACCAGCCTTCACTGTCCCTCCTGAATTCTACCCAGTCTCCACATTTCCTTTACTCCAGTGGTAGGAAGTTTGGCTGTGTCGGGGATGCTAGGGATGGGGCAAGGAAGGTGTTATGGAGGCTGTGCAGGGGAGGATCCCAGTGTGTGCAGGGAATCGCCACCCATCTCATCTCGTGCTGCTGTTCCAGCCAACCCACCTTCCACCACCACCTGGGAAGACAAGCACAACCATCCTACATGTGAGGAGCCTGGTGGTTCCAATTTACTCGCTCTGCCACCAAATGTGGCCACTACTACTGTGAAAGATATCAGCTGTTTACCCGATACACCCCACTATCCCACAGACACAGGAATTAAACCATGCTGAATCTGACTGAAACTAGATGGGGGCTGTAGATATGCAGTGTCCAATGGAGTACAGTTCTGGAACTCCTGTGGAAAGTAACTGTGGAGCAACTGATGAGCAAAAACTGATCACGACCCTGAGGTGAAAGAATCTGGCTAAGTGTCCTGTGGAGGGCACTCACCAGGCTGTTGGGAGCCCACCACTGTATCCCCCATGCACTTCTACTTGTGCAGTCTGAGCACAGCCCAGGGGAATGTGACAAAAGGAAGCAAGCAGATAGACTTTGCACAGGGCTTCTGGACATAGCATTGCAGGTCAGTTGGAGAGGGATGTCATAGACGGTGTCCTACAGTCACCCTGTGCAACCTACAGGCTTATGGCAGAGCTGGTAGAACTTAATAGGCTTAGATGGTTAGTATCGGGGTAAGGGCAGCAGGCTAGCCAAATTGCCACCAGCTGGCCCTACTTACCTGAGTTGGCCTGGTGGCTAGTGGCCTAACTGCTCTCACTTGGCCCCAGTCACTTTTCAGTGCCCAGCAGGCTACTCAACAAAATATGATACTGCCCTCTCTATCCCTTGGTCTCTGGGTCCCTACTCCTGGTTTCCTGTGCCCTGGATCCTGCTTCATGATTTCATCCTGGTTCCCGCCTACCTATTCCTGATTCTAGACTTTAACCCAGACCCTCATGTTCCCAGACTGCCATGAGGGCGCCTTGACCCCTGTGTCTCCAGATCCCTGTCCTCAGACAGTTGGCTTCTGGCATGTGACTTATCTAAGCAATAGCCCATGTCTTGGTCCCATGCAGCTAAAGGTGCCTGCTCCAGACCCCTTGGCTAGTGACACCAGTTTTAGACCCATGCCCTCCAGGTTCCTGACCCTCTCCACTTGGTCAGGTTAACCACCTACACCCTAGTCCCTTATAGACCTCAGCCTCCTAACCTGCCTGACCTTGATCTCTTAGCTCTAGTCCAGACCTTTGGTTCTCTGATCTTGTCTGTTCCTGATACCAGGGGACCAAGCCCCTCCCATTCACATTGCAGGCATACCCCTGACAGTTGGTCACATGGGCAAGCATATGTTGCCCACCACAGAGAAAATGAGGTAAAAATACAGCAATTGTTTCAAAGGAAAGAGGACATTTTTCTCTCAACACACAGGAAAAAGCACATAAACTATTTGTCCTCCAGACCACAAATGACTTCCACATTCAGATAAAGATTTTCAAGCCCCCAAGTCAGCTGTTTTCAGCCTGCTCCAGAAAACTCTTTCTCTGCTGAATCCATCTCCTCATGCTCAGAGAAAGTCAGAGAAGCCAACAGTTGATAGGCTTTTGATCTCCTCGCCTTCAGAGGGCTTTGCTACAAGGAGACAGGCAGGGTCTTTTGCACGCCTCTCTCCAGGATTGCTATGAACTAGGCCTCTGAGTCTCTTCAGGTAAGAATAGTACTCCAGGACATATTTTTGGGTCTTTTCCCTTGGACTTTGACCACCCTCATTTAGTAAAACTGTAGAGAAAGTGGGTATATGGGCTTGCTTTTTGTTTGCAGTAAACCCACAAAGGAAACAAGTGCATCTCATTAAAGAAAATGAACATGTCTTTATTTCTCCACCTCTTCCCTAATACAACTCTCCAGGAAAGCTCAAAATCTTAGAGACCATGAAGTTTGATAGGCTTTTTTTTTTTTTCTTTTTGTTTAGAAAATTCTCTAGAAACTGTTACAGGTTTAAAAGTCTTCATGGAATTCATCCTGATGTAATGGTAGTGAATTCTGTGAGAGGCTGTTGCATATCAGTATCCATGGGAGTCCTGTGCATGTGTTGTATGCTTGAGTCCCACTATGCATAACTGCAGACTGTGTTTGTGTGTGTGTGTGATAGGCTGTTGAAACACAATCAAAACAAAACCAAAACCAAGAAGGTGAGAGGAAATAGCATCTCGCCAGGATTACTTGAATTCCTGCAATGCCTCAGTCTAACTAGACTTATCCTATTTCCTGTCATGTTTATCTGTCGCTCTTATTGTTAGTGGTGTCTTTCATGAGGCTGGCTGCCTGTTAATTGTGAGTTTACTTGGAGTTCACAAGCTTCCCAGTGATCTAAGTGCCATTCTGTGCAAATCCTTAGCAGCGTAATAGCTTATGTCTGCAGTGAAGTGCCTGCACTCTTCTGTTGTTGAGGTAGTTAACTGCTCTAGGAGCCCTTTTCCTACCTGTTCTCTTCCCTTAGGACAGCCGTTCTCAGCCGTTAAACGGTTACAACCTAGAATTGCCTTTTATTCTAGGCCAATATAGCTACAACCTGGAATTGCCATTAGAGGGTTAAGGCACCTCTTGCTAGACACAAGGCACCCCTTGGAAAATGCCAGTTGTTAGCTTTCACGTTTCTTGACTACAGAAAAATACCAGAGCCAGTTTTCTGTTGCAGAGATCTCAGAAATACCACAATAGGGCAGAATGTTTTTGAGGCTATGGATTCCTACTTGAAATCTCTGGGTTTATCTTGTGAATCACGTATAAGTGTTTTTTGCACACCTAACAGGGCTAATATTGTGGTGCATCTTTAAAAGGCTCTTGTGGCACCCTGGGGTGTCACGATACCTGGTTAAGAACTGCTGCCCTAGTACAATTAAACTGAATTCCAGGGAGCTGCTTCAGTGTAGCTGGGAGCAGATGGTAGCTCCATTGGTCTTACTGCCATGCCAGATTGTCAGACATCTAATAAACCAAATGTGCCTTCCTAGTTTCAGACTCCAAGTTCTTCTTAGGTAAGAAGAATTACCTGATTGAGCAAACTGAATGGGTCCCTAAATATCAGTTTCCTCTGACAGTGTCACTCTCTTCTTGGGCATCCTACCAACCTCCAACAGTAACTGCTGCCTACAGAAGAGTTGTTCTCACATGTTATAAAAATGTGTGACAAGTGACCAGGACTATTTTGTGAGCTCTGAGGTACGTGATCTCAGCATCATACTGGTAACATAACTTATTTGAGCAATCTTTTTTGAGGTTTGAGAATCCTCTGGATTCT